CAGGCCAAGGCTCTATCTATCCACTGAGCCAAACCGGCTAGGGCAGGATATGACATTTCTTAGCCCCTCCAGCAGCGGACCTTCGTTTTTTCCTCCAGGAGTGAGGTGGAAAAACCCTAGACCTTCTTGGATTCTTATTACCCCAGTTACCAAGAACACTGCGAGTGGCATACAGGGAGCTTAGCCAAAGAGTGATCAGAAAAGGTGTTTCCTCTGCAGCTCACGCACAGAGGCGGGACTGCTGGTGCACTGCAGTGTGTCCACTCCGGGCCTGCTGCAGCCACACCGTGACGGCTTAGGCAGGCCCCCGTCTCTGGGCCTGCGCCATCCGTGGCTTGCCTCACCGTGCATGCATTCCCCTCCCGCTCATCTGCGCGTGCAGCCTCCTCCTGATCCGGTCGTGACTGTTATGGTGTCCCGGCTAATTTGCATATTACCTCTTTTTATACATAGATATATATTTCCCCATCCTCACCAATTCGGGTTAATGGATAGAGCATCAGTCTGCGGACCAAAGGGTCCCAAGTTCGATTCTGGTCAAGGCACGTACCTTGGTTGCAGACTCCTCCCCAACCCGGGCCCTGGTCGGGGCGTGTGCAGGAGGCAACCAATAGATGTGTTTCTCTCTGTCTTTCACTCTCTCTAAAAGATCAATGGAAACATATCTTCAGGTGAGGATTAATAACAAAAAGAATTTTCCCAAAAGCCCAATGACTGTGGAGTCTTCAACAGTTAAGAGGCTGGGCCATACTGATCCAACTCTATCTTAAGACAGGAAAACAAATTTTTGGTATTAAATGCTTCAACCATGATCAGAACTACAGTACTGACTTGGCAGAATAGAGTTTTACGGCTGCTTCAGGGGAAATATTAACAGTTGGGGGAAATTTTTGTTGGAAGCAAAATATTATACTTTGAGAAATGCTTAAGTCAGGTATTCCTTTTATTGGGACTACTTAACTAAGTACGAAGCATTAAAATAGCTGGCCTGAATATTTATTAGAGCACCAGCTGTTCCCTCCAGATTTTTAGAAATTTGAGCCTTCGTGCCAAGTATAATTTAGAAAAAATTTTCAACAAGTCAGAAGAGCCCTATGCCTTGTAATACTCATCCAGCTTGTAAATAGTAGCTGGAAGGCTCTGGATTATCACTGTGTATTTTCAGTATTTTGTCACCCATTTCCAAATACTATTTTGTTGTTGTGCTTGGTAAGTACATTACTGAAAAAATTATACACTGCATTTCACAATTAATGATCCTTTATGTACATACAGATAACATCAGAGTGCTAACCACAGGGTTCGTATGCCATTTGGGGTTTATTTGTGTGTGTGTGTGTGTTTCATAGTGATGATGACTCTGCGCCCAGTAAAACATCTCAGAGAGACAATTTCGATTTTTATTCAAAATTGTATTTCTTTTAGGAGCCCAGCCATAGTCAAATACCTAATTTATTTTTTAAGGGGGTAAGGGAAAGGAAGACATCAAGAAAATAGCAGGAAAATTCACTGTTCATACTCTGAATATTCTATATTGGAACTTTTCTTGCTAAAGAAAACTGCCAAATAGCAGGGCTGGGTCTCCTGTATTTGCCTTACTATCCGCTCTCAGTGACAATGCTGCAAAATTATATATGAGGAGCCCTAGACAGTTTACCTCAGTGGATAGAGCATCGGCCTGCAGACTAAAGGGTCCCGGCGTGCGGGAGGCAACCAATTGATGTGTCTCTCTCACATCGATGTTTCTCTCTGTGTGTCTCTCCCTCTCCCTTCCACTCTCTCTAAAAATCACTGAAAAAATATCCTCAAAAAATAAAGTAAATTATATATGAGGGAAGGAACATCCCTACTGCAGCATTAGCGCACAGTGCACTCTATGAAACTGCAGTGGAGATGCAGAAAGCAATGCCCATTCTCCCAGCCCCAAAACGAGGGTCCTAGAAGCCCCGGGAAAAGCAGGCTACGAAGCGAGCACCTTGGACACGGGGGCTGGTTTTGGAAGGAAGAGCAGCTGGCTGTGTGGCGCTTAGGCCCAGTCCACCGCGCTGACGTGTGCAGGACGGGCAAGTCCAAAAGGACCAAGTGCCTGCTGCTTCCTTGCTCCTGTGGGGTAGTAAGTAGCTCCTGTCCCTCTATGATGCTAATTGTTCGGGTACTAAACGCAGCTCAGGTGGTTCTCTTCAGCAGCGATGTTCTCATTTTGTTTCTAGGTTTGCTTTCAGATTTAAAAATAAACTGGCATTTTTGGATAAATAAAAAATTCCATGAGGGATAAAGTGGGCCACGTTGCTTTTTTCCTCATAAGCAAAGAACATGAGCCTCAGGAGCTGGTGAAATCAGCCACCCTTCGGTCAGAACTCTGCACCACCCCCTCCCAGCTCCCCACTCGAAGGTTCCCCTCGGAGAGCAGTGGGAAGAGGTGCCACAGCCTGCCAGGAAAAACAAGCCAGACTTCTCCACCTCCGCTGGCTAAGCATCAGAATCGCCTGCGGGGATTTAACAAACAAAAACCAGGAATACCAGGGCCTTATCCTGACCTACTGAATCAGATCCCCTGCTAGGAAGACTGAAGTGTCCCGACTAAGAACTTATTTCGTATGCTGCTATATCAGTAAAGGGGTGAAATATCAACTAATCCTACGGAAGTCACCCTTAGTCAGTGGGAGGGACTTGCTATGCATAAAGGGATGCATGCAGAGGAGAAACTTCTTTTTAAACATGCCTTGACCATCAAGATTCAAGAACAACTGAAGGCTAGAATGGTGGTTTTCAATTGTCTGCTTAAGCAGTAGACCCCCTTTTGTTTCCCCAAGCAAAATCCTTATTAAAAGGTTATCTTTTGCCCTAACTGGTTTGGCTCAATGGATAGAGCGTCGGTCTGTGGGC